AAAGCACGTAAGGGATTGTAATCATTGCAATGCAATGATGAGTGCAAAACCTATGTTCTCCCACGTAAAAACTATCACTCAATTCATGATAAAAACTCAAAACAAAATAACAAAAAACGCAACCCAAACCAAACCAAATTGAGCAGCTTGGGTTTACAAATTTTTTTCTTTGTAAGTGCTTTTCCATCAGTAAAAATGAAAGCTGGGCTTTTGTTTTTTGTTCATTTTTAGATTAAACAAAGTAAATACTTTAATTAAGTTTAGTCTGTGAAAAAAAAAAAAAGACACCATGCTTAATAGACGGTCAGCGAAAGAGCAACACTCAAGGTGGACCGACATTGTAGCTACAACAACAGGCTCAAACAGCAATTGTGAGGATGCTGCAGGACTAGGCAGTGTTTTGTTTAGTTGTGCATAAGGTTGCTATGAATAAGAACCTACTTGAAACTACATAACAAAAAAAAATTTTTTTTGGTTAAAAAAAAAAAAAAAAAGTTCAGAGGTTCGAATCTACCCAGAGGCACCTTGGAAGAAAGACTTCCGAAAAATCAGTCACTGAAAATTCTATTGAATGGAGTTCCATGATAAACATGGGGGGGAACACCATGAGTCAATCAATCTGACTAGACAGCAACTAATTTTATCATTATCCCTTACTTACGAATAAGGAAACTGAGTCTTAAAGATATCAAACCATTTGTCTATGGGCAACGAAGTTAGAGTGTTTGGAACCTAGGCACTAACTTCAGAGCCTAAACTGTGAACTAACATACTCTGAAACCCAAGAAAGTCTGAACCCATCTGAACCTAACCAGTCTTTCCCCTTAAACTGAATACATTATTTCATCTGGTTTAAGCTCCTGGTTGTTGTTGCTAAGTGCCGTCGAGTCAGGTCCAACTCATAGCGACCTGTATATATTCTGTTTCCAAGGAGCAGCTGGTAAGTTTGAACTGCCAACCTTGCAATTCAAATAGACCCTGCAGTTTAGTTTTATCGTACATTGCAACAGGTAAATTAAACAAAATTGTGAATGAAATGGAGCAAAATGTCTACAGGTTAATGAAGGTAACTAATCATTTATAAGTCTAAGATTGAGCTTCCAGTAGAGTCCTGGAGTCATCCTGTAGGACAAGCACTGGACTGCTAACTTCAAGTCTGGCAGTTCAAATCCACCAGCCGCTCCTACACAGGGGTTCCTCGTGGAGTCGGAACCAACTCAATGGCACTTAATAACAGTGTAGCACTGCAGAATGAGTACTGGACTGGTAATCACAAAACTGGCAATTCAAACCCACTAGCCCTCTCAGAAACCCTCGAGTCATTAGGGGTTGTATGACACACAACAGGATTCATCCTGCAGTTCTGTCAGGTTCTTACAATCAAGCATTTAAGAGGTCTAAAGGGGTGACTAGATGACACTGTCTGCATACCTCAGCCTAGCCCAGGTCCTAGATGTCCTTCCTTTCTAGTGCACACCACAGCTGACTAGATATGAGCATGAAAGCCCTAGCACTCCATTCCTTCTCCCCTAGGTGTTCAGGGAGTTTTCTGAATGTCTGGAGCACTCATGTTACACCAGATCCTTTTAAGGAGGTAAAGAGCACATTGAATGTAGCTCTTTTAAGATTCCATCCCCTGCCCGCTACTGTTACTTTTTAGCCTAAGAAAGTGCTGTCAGGAGGTCAAATAGAATATTGTGTAGCAGTGGTTAAGCACTCCCCTGCTATCCAGAAGGTTGGTGATCCAAACCTACCAGTGACTCTAATGGAAAAAGAAGTGGCAGTCTGCTTCCTTCAAGATTATAGCCTTGTAAACCCTATGGAACAGTTATATTGTCATGTGCTGTCAAGCTGGTTCTGATTCATACTGACTCTGTATAGTGTTTCCAAGGAGCAGCTGGTCCAGTGCTCCTCCGACAGTGCCATATGGTTGCAAGGGGTTGAAACTGACTTGGTGACAACAGGTTTGGTGGCATAGTAATTAAAACAGTCACCCGCCAACCCAATGGTTAGCAAACCCACAGAAAGATGAAGCAGTTTGCGTCCCTAGTATTGGAAACCCTATGAGGTAGTTCCACTCTGTCTTATAGGAAAACTGAGTCAGAATCAACTCGATACTAATGTTTGTTTTTTTTGATAGCAGTGTGCTGTGGAGTCGGTTCCGACTCATAGCCATGCTATAGAGTTTCTGAGGCTGAAAATCTTTACAGGAGCAGAAAGCATCATCTTTCTCCTGCAGAACCACTGGTCGTTTCGCACTGAACTTCAAGTTAGCAGCCTGATTCTTAACCACTACACTACCAGAGCTCCTTAGATCACTTTATATTGATAATGTAGGGTGGGAGGATATATATTCCATCAAATTATCTGGTACATAGGAGAAAGGATTAGGAAATGGTTATTAACCTTTGTTAAGAATTAAGTTCTATATGCCTTTTTATATAGTGTCAATTCTTCAAACTTAGGAGCTTAGTAGTATGATCCCATCATTCAGATGCGGAACTCTGACATCAAGTTGGTTCTGACTCATAGCAGCCCTGTATACAGTTTCTGAGGAGTGGCTGGTGAGCTTGAACCATCTATCTTAGGGGTGAGTTAATGAAATGTTTGACCAAATATAGACGACTCATTTTTTAAGTTGGTAATTTTTTACGGGCTGTAAATGATGCTATAAAATTTGGCAGAAACAGGGTCGCTATGGGTCGGAATCGACTTGAAGGCACTTAACAACTCCTGGGGTTTGGAGTCTTGATATAAGATAACCATGGACCCTAAGGTTGACGTGAACTGCAATGTTGGTGGTTGAAACTCAACAGCTGCTCCTCAGAAACCCTATACAGGGTCCCTGAGTTGGACCCAACTTTGACCACCACCCCTGGTTAAAACAAATGAACTCAACTCAACTCAAGCTCACCAAGTTTGTAAATATTAGATCACCTTCTAGTCGAATTCAGACTCATGTCATGTTGTTTGTAAATGTTTACCCTCAAGTTGATTTTAACTCATAACAACCCTATATATGGGCTATAATTGCTACAAAATGTTTCCTAGCCTATAATCTTTATGCGAGCAGACTGCCCTATCTTTTCTCCCATAGAGCCGCTCTGTCAGCCTCTTAGTTACTGTTAGTAGTGTGCCAGCACAGCTATTTGTAAATAGAGGTAAAATTTAAGTTCTCACATGTGCCCAAACTGTACTTCGAAAGACAATTAAATGCCATTGAGTCGGTTCCAATCCATAACAACTATATATAGGGTTTCCAAGGAGCAGCTGGTGAGCTTGAATTGACCTTGCAATCCAGCCCATTAACCCACAGTGCCACAACAGTAGTATACTGTCCTAAAGTATATGTGGAAAGGAAATGTGCATCTAAGGGTATGTTGTACTCAAGTACCTTCACGTAGGTCCCGACTCATAGTGACCCTGTATAGGGTTTCCAAGGAGTGGCTGCTGAGTTTGATCCACCAACCTTGAAACTGACCTTCTGGTTGAGTGCTCATTCTATAGTGTCACACACCGGACTCCACCCTAAAGGTATAGATATGATTTAATTTAATCCTCAAAACCACTTTTCAGAAGTATCATTTCTCAATTAGAAACAGGCTTAAAGTATTTTTGTTGTTGAGTGCCACCAAGTCGATCCCGACAGTGACCCTGAATAGGGTTTCCAAGAGCAGCTGGTAAACTTGAACCACTGACCTTGAGGTTCAAACTGACCTTGCAATCCAACACATTAACCCGCAGCGCCACACCAGGACTCCACAAAAATCAATCAACCGAAAGGATTAATACTCCCCAAAGAATCAGCAGCCCCAAACCAGCATCCATGTGATAAAATCTTATTGCTTTTCTTACATTAGAATAAACTTGAATGGCCAATTTAAATTATAACTGAGGTACAGAGGGGTATTTTATCTAGAGAAAAACACAAGACCAGGTTTATTTCATACAATGTTATTCACACATTTTCATTTTCTAATTTATACATAATATACAAAGAAGTGAAGATAACATTATTTCATTTTCAATGGAACCAATAAGAGCTAGAACTTAGACAAACTGGTCCAGAAGCAATCAATATCAAAAAGAGACACTCAAGAGCAAAGCCTAAGTGGTTCTACCTAAATGAAAACTCCTTTATCCTAAAATATCATCTTCAGATTTTACCAAAACTCTATGCCAACATATTAAAATATTGGGAAGATGAGGCTGTCAACATTGGGACACCTGGGGACATGAGGACCTCAAGAAGAAGATTCAAGTTTCCCACTGTAATGTTCTCTAGGACTTATGTTCTAATTTTTAGAGATAAATGTCTGTGTGGAGAGAGTGTAAGCATAAAAGAAAACCAGGAATTCAGCTGTGCAAACAAAGGAAAGTTACTACCCATCTTCAACAAGGACAGCTTTGATCCTGAAACCCTGGGCTGACACTGGGAACAAAAGTTCAACATGGGGCCAAGACACTCAAAGGCTGGTGAAGCAAAGTAGGAAAGGGTGAAAGAGAGCAGCTTTATACAAAAACAATGCTAAAAAACAAACCCCAAACAACAAAAACACTGTCGCTATGAAGACAACATTCTCATAAACCAGTGACAAGACAAACAATCTGTGACAAGCGGTTGGATTTAATGGCCTCACCAAGGAATGTTTGGTTAGAAAACTAGAATAACTCAATTTTGAACATGAGAAAGTATGCCTGGTACCCCAAAATTCATGCCATTTTTAAAGGTTCATGAAACGAACAGCTAAATGTTTATAAAACAGTGATATTCATTGTGTTCAGAGAACTGCTTTTCTTCCAGATTGCTAATAAAAAAATTCCTTACATTTTCAATTGACTGAAACAGCATGTTCACTTTGTTTTCAGCACTAAGCATAAGTGGGTCAACATAAATGTTTTATACAAAATACTGATTTCAACAAAATACAAAGCACTTTCTTTATCTTTCAGAAACTGAATATACAAAGCAAGTTTTTTCCAAAATATTTTCATAGGCAAAGGATTAAAAACGAGTTTAATTATACACATATGGTCACAATTTTGCCTTAAAAAGATTGTTGGGAAATGTACATAAGGCCGCTTGTAAATGTACATCTGTTACTGTGTCTTATGTCCAGAGAAAAAAATGGTATCATACAGATTTGCTCTTACGTGGGAGTAAGCTATTCAAAAATACAATACTCTTCTGTACAAAGAAAAATTTCACATCACATTTAATAAGATGGAAAAAGCATTGGCCTCCATGGTAACCACGTATCTCAGTCCAATACTTTCTATTATGCATAATACCCTGACTTCAATTGAAAGCGACCCAAATCCTACCACGACCATATTGACAGTCAACAACTATGTTATAAAACAAAATGTGTATCACAGTAATAAAAAGAAAACTGGTTCATACCTTTGAAACCATATAAAGATAAAAAATTTTTTTTAAAAATCACTCTTGATTTGGAGAAATAAATTTACATTATTCAACACTATATGCCAAGTCAAAGAGGGCAGGGACATAAATGTACACTAAAATGCAAATGTTTCCCAAAGAGATAAAACAAATTCCATTTACAGCATGAAGGTTTACAAATGTACACCTGTACAACCAAGGTAAGCATCACTACTAAATTAGCAAGGCTTTTTATAATAAACATGAAACAAGATTTGTCTTCAAAGTGTAAACTTACATCTATTACTACACACACAATGCATATATTTATAGGAAGCAAAAAAAGCTATCTGAATATGTAATCATGCTTAAATGCTGAGCTATCAAATTTGCTTTTCAGTGGCCCCATTTCACCTCTCATCAATTCCTACTTTCTGAATCTACTATGGGAAAGCAAAATAAAGCTCAACATTTCCTGTCTTTGTAATTCTATAAGCAAAACAAAATACAAATTTCCACTCTTTCTCCTTGCAAACCAAAGTGAAAAGTTAATAGGGGACTTAACTTTTCATTTAGTGTACTTAACTGGATGGAAGGAAGTGTCACCATGATTTTGTTTTTACTACCTCTTACAATTACATATGTAAGTATATACAATACTTTTGTACATTGCCAGAGACATTTTAGGGCAGTATTTGTATTAAAACCACATCCACTGTAAATAATATATGTTTTCTTCTCAAGTCATTTAATTCTTATCTACTTGCTGAGTTTTTATTAGCATGATAGTTTGTGAATTACCAAAATACAACTTAACTTTTCCATTTAAAATATTAATAATATTTATGCAGTTGATTGCTAATCTGTTATAAAAGGCTTCACATAAAGGAAAAACAAAAGCAAAAAAAAGAGGGGTGGGAACTATAATTCTATATACATCTCTATAAACCTGTTGTGCTATGGGGTCGAAGACCTATCAGACTGCAAGCCAGTTTATTAAAAGAATACTGTACTTTTCCCTTAAAAACTATTTTTGTGACTTTACAAGGTAAAAATTTACAAAATATGTGACAGCTTTTTTTTTTTGGATACAGTTACATCATATACAGGCATTCTGTGCTTTACCAGCAATCCAATCTGATAGGTCTCCACTTAGGGCTGGATACATTTTATAATTCACCACCCACCCCCCAAATATACACAAGAACCTTAAAAAATTTACAAATGGATGAATAAAGTCAATAAATAGTTTTGCTTTAAAAAAAAATTTGAAGATTCATAGTTGAGTTGTGTTTTGATAATTCACAAAGAAACTCTTTTCACATGGTTAAATTATCTTCCCCTTTTCCTTTACAGCATTCCATTTGGTGGTCCTCCAATAGGCCCAAGATCTGGGCTATTTTTCAAATAATATTTTTCCAACTTGGCCAGTATATGTTTCCCGTATGTATATTTTCGCAAAGTAGTAATGTGAGGTCGAATCTGGGAGGGGGGGAAAAAAAAATCTATTTAAGTGCCTTCAAATCTAGGTGATTTAATTGAGTAACTACAATTTTAAATTCCAAATCCAAAGAAAGCTGCTGTTTGCAAAAGTAGTTCTATTCTACTTATACCTGCTTTCAAAACAGTTCAATAAATAAACCTTAATTCTACACTATTTCATAAACTCATAGGACAGAGGTTCCAAATCAAGCAACAAATGAGCTACTGAACTCTTACAAACTGTTGAAAGGCAAAATATTGTACCTCAAGGCAGCTGGACAAGAATTCAAACTTGAAACAAAAGACATGAACAAGCAGTAAGTTGCACTGATGACTAATAAACTTAACATGCTCAATATCACCCTAATAATTTTTATTATTATTGTTAAGTGCCATGGAGTTGGTTCTGACCCACAGCAACCCTGTATAGGTTTCCAAAGAGTGGCTGGTAAACTTGAACCACTGACCATGTGGTTCAAATCGACTCTGCATTCTAACTCATTAACCTACAGTGTCACACCAGGACCCTAATAATTTTGAAAGGCAAATTAAAAGAACCAAGTAATTTTCTTTTCATTATAGATTGGTAAAATATTGATATAAAATACTGATACCCTTCCACCTAATAATGTCAAGTCTAGGCATTTATCCCAGAAAAACATTTGATTATACAAATTACTAATATAAATTTCACACTTAATATTGTTTACAATAGCTAAAAAATTAAAAGCAAATCCAATGTCAAAAATATAACTTTGGTTAAATTTACTAACATGGCTGTTAAAAATAAAGTTGAATGAGTCCTTCAATGTTTTTTCTTCCACTGTGCTTTTTCATAACAAAATTTCTTATGATGATAAGTATTTTTAAAGACTCATTCAATTCTAGGACGGCAAAAGAAGGTACAAAATAAAAGAGTTTAAAAGGAAAATTACTAAGAGTTACTGCTATCTGAAAAATCAATCACATTCAACATAAATTCTTTCTTTAGAAAAATATACTTTAGCAAAACTCTAATTACATTTAAGCCAACATTCAACCCATCTATTAAAGCACATCACATATACCTGAATAAGATGGGGAAAGAAAGAGCTATAGCTAGAGAAAGAGACGAGGAATGAAAATAATTTTATTGCATATGTCACCTAAATTCTTATTTAGTCAGAGGAGAAAACATATCAACATCTCACAAACTATAGTTATCTATTTAAGTGCCATATGCTGTTATTACCTTGTGCATGATTATCTTTCTCTGAGCAGGCTCAGCCATATCAATCATCTTCTGAACCACATAATTGGCATACTGGTCCTTCATCATGGTGTATAAGGCACTGTGAGGACCATCATTCTGGCAGCATATCTCGTCAATCAGTAAAGCTCTCTCAGCACGAGAGGCATGAGTAACACACTTTTCTACTACATTGCTAAAAATTAAAGTACATATATTCAGATTCAATTTAATGTATTTTTTCCTTTATAGCAAATTCTCCTTAGCTTTTGAATGTATGAGCTCAATCTACTAAAAGTCATTAAAAAAAAAAAAAAAAAAGCCACCCAAGACAGGACACTATAGTCTTTATAATAACTTTTAAAACAGAAGTTAACATCATAGGAGAACTCATTTTGACATCTATAAGTATGACAGGCCTCTCAGAATGGAAAACCAATTTAAAAAGTCTTTGGGATAAACATTTCTTAAACCCAGTTTCCAAAAGTGGGCAAAAAACAATTTTTCATGTAGATTTTTAAAAAAAAGAATAAAAGCAATATTCTTTACATGCTTTTGAGACTCTTTTAACTAAAAAAAGATAATAATCCAATGGCATATTCTACATGCATTTCTGTGTGTACATATTTGTGGCTATACACTGTCACAATAAGGCTATTTAATAAAAGCTAAGTAGCTGAAAGAGCTGACCCTGGAATTAAAAAATATTGCTCTACCTGGCAAATTTGTGTTGACTCAGGGCTAAGACCTTGCCTCTGATTTCAGAAACAATTTTGCTCTTGTCTTCAGGTCGACCATGTTCCAGTACATGCTGAATAACATAATTGCCATACTGATCCTAAGGAAAGATGTTTAAAAATTATTTTCCTTAAGAGAAAAGCAGAATGATTATTCTTTACAAAGAGGTTAATCATCTTGTGTAAAAATCCAGTAACGTAGCCAAGAAAAACAACAGCCTTCTGTCTCATTGAGCTACTATATTTTATTTCATTAGCATGTTAACAAATCACATTCCCTTGATAAAACAAAAGTAGAGCATCAAAATAAAATATTAGAGAATTTCTTATACCTGAACCAATTGCTCTGTATGTTGATGGAGCTCTTCTAAAATAGGTAAAGTCTGTTCTGCGGTGCAATGCTCTAGGATGCGTTGAATTACTCTGCAGCCGTAAGGATGAGTTGAAAGCACAAACACCTTAAAACAATTAGAAAAATTAAAACTTCCATTCTCTGACAATTCTGGAACGTACTGAGACAGGCAGGGTTGTGACAGTGTGCTGAATTAACTGAACCTAGAAGAGTGAGTGATGGATGCACATGTAATACAGACCATCACTTGTTAGCAAAGACAGAGTAGGGGTTGGAGGACTCAATTTAGATCTACAGATGCTATGATCAAAAGACTGAGGGCAAGTAAAAATGAATTCAGGGAATGTAGTGTAGCACAGTAAGTAAGAACTACTAATTACTATGCAGTCATTATAAATTTCTGCTTAAAAACAAAACAAAACAAAAAACACCGTGTTTTATTATATATACTCTTGTGGTTTCTTCCATTCCCTCCATCTCCTAGAAAATTTGGAAAAACATATTGTTGAGTTTATAATTCTAACTGTGGTTACCTTTAATTCTTAGAGCAAATTGCCTGAACTCATATATTAATAAGCTTTTCTACTTCAAAACACGAAGATCTCCATTGAGTCACCCTATGATATGAAACAGGCAGAAATTTAAGCATGTTTACTTTTTAATCTATTTTTGTACGAGAGTGTGGAGAATTAATTATCTTGGGACATCAAACTCTAAAATAATGTTCTGCCAACTAATTAGACTTAAAAAATCGATCTTACTTGTCCTTTAAAAGCATCAATGATGAATTGCAGTGACTGTGGCTGAACACATTCAATACACTTTTGTACAACATGGTTTCCATTCTGATCTTTCACACATTTCAGTACATGACCATCTAGTTCCTTTACCATTTCACTCTGAAAAGAAAAGATACCATTTAAAAAATTCCTTCCTACAAGGATTAACAATTAAAAAGCTGTGATGGAAACAAAAGCTTTTCCCCAAATAATATTTAATGTCAGTGAATTTTTTAATTTATGAAAGTTTGAAGTATTTTACAGAATTATAATATACATTTGAAATATATCCTAGTGATGCTGAATTTGTCTTAACTATTATCTTTTCTGGAACACTTCCTACTAGTTTCATTCAGCTGATAACTAATAAAATTAATGAAAACTTCTGAACTTTCACCTACTTAGCATTTTTAAAGTTTCTACAAGTATACAAAAACTACTTTTAATGACTGTATGAACCTAACAAGTTTAGAAGAGGAAAAGAAACTAGATACTTACAGGCTATTCAATTTTTACATATTATCTAAATTATGGGTAGAAATTACTTTTATTTTTTAAAAAATGTATTGTGAATTGAGTATTTACAGACAAGATGATCAGTTTTACATTTATCAAACTATACACTTTGTTTCATTTCAGTGATTATAATCCTCTCCACATAACAACAGCTACCCTGCTTCCTCCCTGTGGTTCCTATTTGCATTCCACCCACCTCTAAATTATGGACAAAAATTATTATGGAACATATTTATTTCTTTTTAATACTCTTATAATAAAAGACAACTTGAGTAATCAAGGTAAGCAGCATGGTAAACTGAGAGAACAATGAAGTTGTAACATACTTCAGTTTGCTCATATCAACTATCAACACTCAATGGAAGCAGCAGTCAAGAATTCAAATGACACATTGCAATTGGCAAATCTGCTGCCCAAGACCACTTTAAAGAATTCAGAGATAAAAGTTTGAGGACTAAGGTGCACCTGACCCAAGCCATGGTATTTTTTAATGTCCTTATATGCATGTAAAAGTTGGATAATAGATAAAGAAGACCACAAAAATGAAGCATTTCAGTTACAGTATTAGAGAATATTAAAAGTATCATGGAGTGCCAGAAGAACAAAAAAATCTGTGTTGGAAAAAATACAACCAGAATGTTCCTTAAAAGCAAAGATGGTGAGACTTTGTTACTCATACTTGGGATGTATTTATCAGAAGGGACCAGTTCCTGGAGAACATTGTTGTTGTTGTTGTCAGGTGCCATTGAGTCAGAACCGACTCACAGCCACCCCATGCACACCAGAACGAAACAATGTCCGATCCTGGGCCAACCTCACTACCGCTGCCACACTCAAGTCCATCAATGATGCCACCTGGCCAATCCATCTCGTTAGGGGTCTTCCTCTTTTACTCTGACCCTCCACCTTACCCAGCATGACATCCTTCTCCAGCGACTGTTCCCTCCGGACAATATGTCCAAAGTATGAGAGACGAAGCTTAGCCATCTTGGCCTCCAAGGAGCACTCTGGCTGCACTTTTTCCAAAACAGATCTATTGGTTCTTTTGGCAGTCCATGGCACTTTCAGTATTCTCCTCCAACACCACAACTCAAAGGCATCAATTTTTCTACGATCTTCCTTATTCACTGTCCAGCTTTTGCATCCATATGAGGCTATTGAAAACACCATGGCCTGGGTCAGGCGCACCTGAGTCCTCAAGCTGACATCTCTGCTCTTCAATAAGCTTGGTTAAGGGGAGTGTATGGGAAAAAGAGGAAAATTCCCTAATGAGATGGACTGGCACAGTGGCAGCTGCAATGGGCTCAAGAGTAACAACAATTGTGAGGATGGAGCAGTATCAGGCAGTAATTCATACTGGTGTGCAAAGGGCTGCTATGAATTGGAACTGACTCAATGGTGCTAACAACATAATAAAGAACTTGCTTCATATAGCTTTCCCAGATGAACATGACTCCTTACTCACTCTTAAACTTATTTATAGTAGTTTACGAACTGAATTTTCCTTCATTTATTAACTCTCATGTTCTAGTGGCACTGTGGATAAGGCACTTCATTGCTAATCACAAGGTCAGCAGTTCAAACCCATTAGTTGCTGCACAGAGGGAGAAAGATAAGACTGTCTGCTCCCATGACCTATAGTCCAGGAAACACTAAACTGGGACACTGCAAGTCAGAATCGATTCAATAGCAATGGTTTTCATGTCTGAGCTAACAACCTTAGCATTTTCCTTATGTATAAGTCTGTTTACAACAAGCAATAGTATACTATAGAGAAAATAAGCAATTTAAAAGCTTCCACATTAAGAATAACTTTAAGTATCTTGCTCACCAAAGAATTCTCAATCTCATTCTGACATCATTACGAATGAAACCTGTTTAGTCATGCTACAACACATTTAGTAATAAACTAAAAATTAAACACAGAAAATGTACTTAAGCACCTGAATAATGAATTTTGCTAATATTGAAGACATTTAAAATGTCTTTAAAATATTAATACCAGTTTAACAATAGAGGCAGACTGACTGTTACTATAAGAAACAAGCAAACCCCCTTCCAAGATTAAGACTCAATGGGAATACACGCTCTGATTGGAAACCACGCTCGTCACCCATAAGGGGAAGTGAGGGAAAAACAGCAATGAAGCGGCGAGATAAGCCTTACAATGTTTAATAGACTCTTGTGAACCCGGGTGGAGACCTGGTTGGCCAGCAGTGTGGCAAGACCTGGGGACTCTTTGGACCAGAGTCAGTGGCATAGCCACAGAAAACCAGAGTGGAGAGTGAAGCATCCACCTAATAAGAAGAGAGGGCATATGCACAAGAACACCC